GAGTCCTTCGCAGGTTTCTATGTCCTTCTCTTCTTCTTCCTCCTTTACATCTTGTCGAAGTTGCTGTCGGCTTCTGTCCGTCAAGCGAGCGACGGCGTAGTGCCGCTGGCGCGTCCCGACAGAAGTCAGGGCGGGCCAGCGTTCTCTTTCTTGCCCAGCCATATTGTGGTGTTGGAGGTCGACAAGTGCCGCGCTGCAAAGCAAGTCTGTCGCCGAGACTACAGCGCCCTCGCCTTTGCACCACGCAGCTGGCACCACAAGATTTCCTCACAGGCATCAAGACCCCCCCCCCCCCCCACCACCCACCCACCCACCCACCCACCCCCGCCCGGGCTTTATGTCGCCCCCCTGGGGTAGTGCGATTTTCGCACGGCTGTGCCTGTCCGAAGCATGAGTTCGTGCCATCCCAGCCCAGCCGCTTTCGACCTGCCCCGCCCTTGTCAAATAATCTCACGCGCGCGCGTTCGTTTGTAAAAAACAATCGTCTTCTCCAGGAATTCTGGCAGAATACCGCAACGCAGTCCAAGCGCGCGCGTCGTTGCGCGCGCGCCGGAATGATTTGAAAACGTAGGCTCCGCTGGGATTTCAAGATCGAGCTTCCCGAACACACAGAAACACATTGATTTGCCGCATTAAATGACGGAGCGTTTTTGCGATTTCTCGGGGGCATGCGTTTTTTTTGTGTTTTCCTTTTTTGTTTGTTCTTTTGGCTTTTCGTGTTTTTTTGTATTGTTCTGTTTTCTCCGTTCTTTCCGCCACTTGAAACCACGCGCGTTTCCTCGCGCGCGCATGTCGAGATCATTCGAACTCCCTTGCGCGCTTGCTGAGGCCGCGATTCCCATGGACCAGGTCTACGCGCGCGTGGCGTCGCGCGCGCTGACATCGTGGAAACATTGGTTTGGGGTCAGCAAAAATTTGTGCAGATCGACGTTCCCGAAAACATACTGGGATCACATCTCTAGCCGAGAGAATTATTCAATGGCAAAAAATTTGCGCGCTCGCGTCCTTGCTAAGTCACTCGGGAACCATCGGTTTTCCACCATGTTCACCAAGTGCAACTAAATGGGCTTTTGCCGCGCGCATGCCGAAATCATTCGAACGTTTTTGCTTTGCTTGCATGGGAGGCACGACGCTTGTCAAATGATTCTTTGCGGGCCACTCGCACCGGTCGGCCGCGCGCGCACGTCGAATTCCCCCAGAACTTCTAATTGCCGACACGCGGGCACCATCTTCATCGGCGCGATCATGATCGGTAATGTCATTGGCCTTGCCGTCGTCACCGTCACCGTTCTCGCCGACATCGCCATTGGCATTATCGCGTCTGCCATTGTGGACGTCGCCACGATGCCGCGCCCGCTCGAGTCACCGACTCGCACTGGCGCGCCAGCGCGGCTTGCGAGGCGCGCTGGGAAGCCCCCAGCGGTCAGTTCCACCGCGGCCGCGTCGGTCGCGCCAGACTGGCTGGCCGCATTGCGCGCGAGCCCGCGCACGCCAGTGCGGCTGCGGCGACGCGCCAGCCAGCGTCAAACAGTCATTGCAGTCGCCGCCGCGCTGGCATCACAAACCACGTTGCGGGCGGGGGGGCGGGGCGATCGCGCGAGCAGCGAGTCTGAGACTTCGCTGCGAACAAGATGAAGCGCATCGCAAGTTGCGCAACAGACCGCGCCCCACAACATAGCGCGCTAGGAGCTCCACGACATAGATTGCGCTTAATGCGCGCAACAGAGATCGCGCGATCTGCACCGCGCATCATGGGTGGCACAACATAGATAGCCTTGTAGATCGCGCCGCTTATATCGTGCGACACAGCTGCTCCTTTTGCAAGGATGCGCTGGCTCTACCTGCCCCCCCCCCTCCACCACCACCACCACCCCCAGACTTAACGGTGCGCATTTTTGTGTTGCGTCTTCTTTTTATTCTGCCCAATCGTCCATTCTGAATGCGGATCCAGCCCCCCTTCGTCCTGCGCAGGAAGCAACATGCACGCGCGCTCGCTCATCGAAAAGCATCGGCTTTCAACGATCCCTGTCGACGGATGGCGAAGTACGCGCGCGCGCTGTCGCGCGCGCATGCCGCAACCTTTCAAGAACTTCGTGCGTCGCAAGGGCTTCTAAACCGAGCGCCCCGAACACATGTAAAACCACATGGTTTTGCTGCGCGAGTTTTCACGCACGAATTCGCTCGCGCCCATGCGAGAAATTAGAAATAGTATGTTTTCCAAAGTTGCCATCACATGCTACCAAGTGTGCCTCTCGTGCGAGCGCGCTGAAATCGTTCGAGCGCCCTCGCGCGCCTGCTGTCGCTAGAACCATTTTCAACGGAGGAGGCGACGCACGCGTGTGCGTCGTCGTGCGCGCCAACCAGAATGTTAGACAGATTCGGGGTTCCGCACAGATTTTGAAAGCCTGCGACCCGATGAGGTTTATCACACACGCACGGTTTCGCAACATCATTTTCCTGAGAGGGTTTGCGCGCGCGCCGTCCGAATTCGTTCGAAACTCATAGTACGGCCAAACGGATCCAGCGCGCCGCGCGTCGAACTGAATCGACCGCTCTTGCGCGCGCGCAAAGGCGGGGGGGGGCGCGGCCCCTGTCAAATTATACCTCGCCGGCCACTCGCGCGCGTCGACTGCGCGCGCGTCTAAATCCGCCCAAAACCTCCATCGCCGACGCGGGGGCATCGTCATCGCCACGGGCGCGATTCGCGTCGGCGCCGCAAGTGTCCTTGCCGTGGGCATCTTCATCTCACCGCCATCGCTGCTCGCATCATCGCATCCACCGATGTCGACGTCGCCATGATGCCGCGTCAGCCTCGGTCACCGACTCGCAGCGCCCGCTGGAAATTGCCCGGCGGCCAGCGCCACTGCGGTCGCGTCGGTTCCACCAAAGAAGCTGGCCGCTGCGCGCGCGCGGGCCGGCGCGGCCGCGAGGCGAGCCAGCCGCGACGAAGCAGTCATTATCATCGCCGCCGCATCGGTTTGACAAAGCAAATTATGGGCGGGTAGTTGGAGTGATTGCGCAAGAATGGAGCTGACAAGCCTTACTTCTCCGATCTCAATCAGCATCGGGGCCCGCTTCCCCCCCCCCCTCCCCCGGACTTAGCAGCCCCTGTTGGGATGTGCAACTTACGTGCGATGATGCCCCATCGCCAATCCAAAATATAAGTTCGCACCACCCCGGCCCCGCCGACCCCCCCCCCACCCCCGCCCCCCCCCCACCCCTTGCAGAGCAGTTGCGCGCGCGAGTTCGTTCATCGCAAATCTTCCACGCGCAAGAAACCCTCGGAAAAAAAGTGGGGCGAAGCGCGCGCGGGCGCCCTGTCGCGCGCGCGTCGATTTCTTCGAAGAGCCGTAGATCTCGCGAGGATTTCAAATAGAGCAGCACGAAAACATACAGAAGCACACGGTCTCGCAAACACTGTTGTTTATCAAAAATACGCTTGCGCTCTTGCAGAATCTCGAGGCGGCCATTGGTTGTTTCAACATGTTCATGCGATGCTACCAAATGGGCCTTTCGCGCACGCATGTCGCAATCAGTCGAATGCCCTCGCGCGCGCGCTGCCGCGATACTCCCGCGCGACAGTGCAGCGCGGCGAAGTGCGCGCGCGCCGTCGCGCGCGCATGCCGGAATCTGTCAAACACTTATGCTTTCTATATGGCGCGTGGATTTCAAAATCGAGTGCCCCAGTTGTTGTTATATCTAATTTGGTTTGCAACATCAGTTCCCGCAAAAGTTTGCAAGCGCGCTCCTGCGAATTGTTCGAAATCCAAAGGTTGTCTGTCATCAAATTCTGCAAGACAGACCTCTCGCGCTGCATGTCGGGCTCATCCGAACACCCTTGCGCGCGTGTCGGGGGGGGGAGGGGGGAGGGGCGCGATCCGTGTCGAATATTACATCATGGGCCACTCGCGCGGGCTGGGTGCGCGCGCATGTCGAATTCCTTCCAAAACCTTCACCGCCGAGCGAGGACATTGTCATCGTTGTCGGCGGGCGGTGCTCAACATCTTCGCTGTCATTGGCCTTGCCGTCGTCATCGCCACCGTCGCCAGCATCATCGCTACTCTCATCATCGCGTCTGCCGCTGTCGGCGTCGCCATGATACCGCGCCCGCCCAAGTCACCGACTCGCACTAAAGTGCCCGCTGGGAAGGGCCCAGCGGTCAGCGCCACCGCGGCCGCGTCGGCCGCGCCCAAGTAGCTGACCGTTGCGCGCGCGAGCATGCGCGGGTTAGCGCGGCCGCAGGGATGCACCAACCAACGCCAAGTTGTGGGCGGGCGGGTTGGACGATTGCGCGAACAATGGGTTTGACAACTCAGAGCAGTGGTGGACGACGCCAGATTGATTGCACCACGTAGAGTGCACAACATGGATGGCTAAAACAAATTGATTTGGGCCCTCGTCAGCTGTTGTGTTATGTTGTTTGGAACCAATTGGGGATACGTGGGTTCGGTCGTATTCTTGGAGTATTCAAAGTAGGCGCGTCAAGACCGGTTCGATTATTGTCAAGACTTGCGTATTGGCATGGGCGCGGGGCCTGCTAAGGGGACCCGGGGGTGATCAGTGGATGCCACGGTGGGTTGGTTGTACGCGGTCTATTTGTTTCAACAGTGGCTTGCAAATTCTTCAAGTGACTCAGGGGGTTTACCATCCAGGCGAAGTGGGTCCCGCCCACCTAGCGGAGTTATCCAAACAAAAAAAAAAACGTTTGGGGCAGTTGTAAACTAGGTTCGGCTAGACGCAACCTATTTAAGCATCCGCTGAGGAAGCCCTCGTTTAGTCCCTTCGCACCCAGCGCCGATCCCAATGGAGCCCGGTATCCCTTTCCTTTTCTTTTAGCACGACCAGAACCTTGTAGAACCCACCGCCAAGAAAAACCCGAGGCCCCAGAACTCACCCCACACGCCGCCCCACGCCCCCGCCCTTCGCACAACGATTCAACGGTCGAGTGATTTCGCTTCATGGTCCCAGTCCCGCGCCCTCCCGGCGACGCCCGGAAGCAGGTCCGGCCCGGCGGGCTGGGCGCTTCCGCCCATTTGCTCAGCTGCATGGAGGTTGCGCTGGTCGACGACGTGGACTTGCCGAGCGTCCGGGAGATCCTCCGCCGCCGTCGTCGTGCGCCGCCGTCCGCGACGCCGCCGCCGGCATGCGCCGCGCGTCGTGCAGCATCATGGCATCGTCGTCATCCATCATTCGTCGCTGTCGCCGTGTCCTTTTGGTTTCCGCCGTCCTCGTCGTCGTCATTCGTCAGTTCGGGCTTGTTTTTCGCAACTTCGACGTTATCGGGGGCCGCTATCGGGCCCGCGGAAGACGACCTGTCGCACCGAATCCATTCGAGAGAAGATGGAGTCGGCATTCCTGCAGCCTACGCATTGCAACAAACAGGGCAGTGGAGGTTGTCTGTAGTAGTTGCGTCGTCCGTCGTCCACCGTAAAACAGGGCGTCAGAAACCTGTCTTTCAACAGTCGTCGTCTACCTGGCCTTCAGGCGCTGTGGAGAAAACACCGCGGGCGTTCTCGGCCCCGAGGGCCCTCTGACAACGGCTCGCGGCGAAGAGCCCGTCCAGAGGATGGAATCGAGAATTTTGGTGGCCACGTGGCTAAAACGTCACGTGGGAAGCGCGGCGGACGCCTCCCTCCCCGCCTCCTCCTTCCGCTTTGAAATCCTCGGTCCGAGCGCACCCGTGTCCTCATTCGAGTCCTTCGCAGGTTTCTATGTCCTTCTCTTCTTCCTCCTCCTTTACATCTTGTCGAAGTTGCTGTCGGCTTCTGTCCGTCAAGCGAGCGACGGCGTAGTGCCGCTGGCGCGTCCCGACAGAAGTCAGGGCGGGCCAGCGTTCTCTTTCTTGCCCAGCCATATTGTGGTGTTGGAGGTCGACAAGTGCCGCGCTGCAAAGCAAGTCTGTCGCCGAGACTACAGCGTCCTCGCCGACGAAAGCGTCCGGCAATTATTGTAGAAACACTTGGGCGAGGTCTGGGATGATTTTGAAGAGGCAGCTCCGGACAATTCCAACGTGAACCTGGCATGGTGTCGATTGGTCCATAGTTTCCAGCATGCCGAGGAGAAAACGCTGCCATTGGAACCGCCCCGTCCGCACAAACCGTGGATCAGTAGCAGCACGCTGGAGCTCATAGAGATGCGACGCAATGCCGCACAGGATGTTGACGTGGTCCGGGAGCGGGATAATTTCGAAGCGTATCAGGATCTCGGTAGCCAGGGACAAAACGAATTTGCTTGAGACTGTCACCAGGGATGGCGACTGGGCTCAAATCAGGAGAATGCGCAGAGGACTCCAGCGAGCTCAAGGAAGACTCCGAACTAGCGACGGCGAGCTGGTGGACAGCGACCGCAGAGGAACAACTTTCGCACAGCATCTGGAGACCCTGCAGTGGGCGGTGCGGCCGACGACCGCGCTGCCTGACGGCGCTGTGGTTCACCCTGCTTTGCCGGTCAATTTGGGCACCATATCCGCCGACGACGTGATGTGGGCGGCGCGCAGACTGAGGAACCGACGAGCGGGAGGTTTGGACGGATTACCGCCAAAATGTTCGAAAGCGTGTGCCGAGAATGGCCAGCAAGCTCTGGCATAGGTCGTTCGATTTTGCAATATGGTCTGGTCGCAAACGACAGTGCCAGACGCGTGGCCTAAATCACGCGTGCGCACGATCGAGAAGAAGGGAGACCCAGCGGCGCGCGACAATTACCGACCCATCAGCTTGCTGCCAATCGGACATAGGCTTTCGTAACGATCGTGCTGAAGAGGCTGAAACACGCCGGTGCGGAGGACAGCATATTGCCGACCCAATTTGGCTTCTGGTCACAGTGCGGCACCTCCGACGCCATCTTCGTGGCCTGGCGCGCGCTCGAGGACGCGTGGCCACAAAATACGGGACTGTCCTCCCACTGGCCTTGGATTGGGCCAAAGTCTTCGATTCTTCATCCCCGGAGGCGATGGCGACGTCACTTCGGCGATTCGGTTGCCCGGCCAAGTTCGTCGACACGGTGGCGGTGATGTACGACGACAGGAAATCCGTCGTGTCTGACCTCGGCGCAGATTCAGGGGAGCAGCAGCGAATCTTCGGCGTCTGCCAGGGGTGTTCGTTGTCCCCGTTCCTAATCACTATCGTAATGACGACGCCGTTGCAGGACGCGCGCGCGAAGCTGTTGGAGAGACTCCCGGGAGCCCCGTGGCGCACTTCGTGCGGGAGTTGGTCTACGCAGACGGCACGCTCCTACTGAATGCGAATCCTGGTGTCGTGCAGGGGTTGATGGCGTGCGTGGAGGAGTGCGGCAAACACTATGGATGGAGCTTGAATTGGAGCAACGTCGAAATCACGAGAGTTCGCTCCAAAAGGACGTCTTGAACAGCGTCGGTGAGACCGCCAGGGAGAAGGAAACGCTGGTGTACCTCGGGACCCAGCTTTCGTCTGATGGCCGGAGCGGTTCCGAGTTGAGCAGAAGATTAGGCGCAGCAAAGCGAGATTCGAACTTGCTGAATTTGATTTGGTCCCACGCAACTTTGTCTCGGAGAAACAAAGTGTATATTTTCAAGACGCGTGTGTTTCAAAAACTGTATTATTGCATGTTTGCTGCCTGCTTGAACAAGTCGGAGCGCAGAAGACTCGACAGTTTCCAGGCTAGGTGCTTGAGTAAGATATACCAGATGCTACCCTCATATTGCAGTCGTGTGTCCAACAGTACCGTCTAGACCAATTCAAGGGTAAGGCCACTGAGCGAAGCCATTGCAAAACGACAATTGGTATTTTTAGGGATGCTCGCGAAGCGCCGTGGTAACGACCAGTTGCGCAGGTCCGTCTTCTAGCCTGTCGGCATTGAGCTCCGAGTGCCTACATGGATCCGCAAGGGAGGACGTCCCCGACAGATGTGGGGTAGCATGGTGATGAACAATTGCATGAAGGTCGCTGGCTCCCACGACCGCCTGGCTGACACGATGTCCCGCCGGAGGCAGGTGCAGCCGCAGAGCGAGAGGCAGCAGTCAGATCATGGCACAGTTGACGCATCGTTGCTCCCCCTCCTCCTCCTCCTCCTCCTCCTCCTCCTCCTCCTCCTCATCCTCATCCTCATCCTCATCCTCCTTCTCATCACCCCCCTCCTTTCTGACACGTTTTTAGCCGCACAGGCTTGCAAGGCTTGTTTCTGGATGGAGTGCCGAAGGGCCCTGTCTCAGGCGCGATCGTTTTTGTTTGACCCTGCTCGCGCGTTTTCTGACGTCTCGCGCCGTCTGGCGCAGGGCTTCTGACTGACTGACTTGTTTTGTTGGGTTCTCGTTTTGAATCAGCAGCGCCCCGCGTCTTATGTCATTCCCCCTTCCGCGTCCGTCCCTCCCTTCCACCTCTGTTTCTTCCTCCTCCTCCTCCTCCTCCTCCTCTTCCTCCTGATGAGCTATGCGAAGTGCTTAGAGCGAAGACTCATGATATTCAGACAGCTGAATGCTATGACTCACATGTTTACTGGTGTGTAAAACCATGCCCTTCCGTCCGTGCGTGTCTAGAGCGAGCACATAGCTGCTCGAATTTCGCGGCCACGGGCGCCATTGCACGTTAACTCGTTAACGCCTCCCTCACCATGCTCACTCGCCGTCTCCATGCCCTGCCTCTCAGATTGTCTGCTCCTCGCTTGTGTGGCGTTCTGGAGCAACGACCACGGCAGTGCCGGGTCAAGCTGCTGCTGTCTGACAGCCACCATGTGGCATGATGCATGCTTTTATGCCTGGAGCTGTGGGCTCCTACGAGATTTCCAGCGTAGGACGCCCATTCCTGTTGGTGGAGCCCGAACTTATTGGTTTCACAGTTCTTCGAGCCCAGCGGGTGTGGGCTCCTCCTCCTCCTCCTCCTCCTCCTCCTCCTCCTCCTCCTCCTCCTCCTCCTCACCCTCTCCTCATCGTCATTTCGGCGCACTACTCCCCACGCGCGCCGTGGCGCATAGAGAGCTCCAACTAAGGCCCAAACGCAGTGGTTTACTTGATTTTTCCCACGCCGTCACGCTTCTCACATGCTGCATCGCCCCATAAGGGGGGCAAACTAAAGCCCTGATGCCAGGGTTCACATGGTCTCCCGCCTCCCATGTCGGCCCCCCCCCCCCTTCACGCGCTTCGTAACCCCATAGGGAGCTCCAGCCACGACCCAGATATAAGTGTTCACATGAGTTCTCGCTTCCCACTTTGGCACACCACTCACGCGTTTCGTGGCCCCGTATGGAGCTCGTGCCAAGGCCGAAATGCCAACTCCACATCTGTTCCAAGGTATCATGTCGGCACACCTCTCACACGATTCGTGGGCCCACATGGGACCCCATGTGAGGCCGAGATGCCTAGGTTCGCATGGGCTTCCCTTGTCGGCACTCCCCTCACATGTTTCGCGGCCCCACCAGGAGCCTCTGCTAAGGCCCACATGACAGGGGTCACATGAGCTCCCGCCTCCCATTTCGGCACACCGCACTCTCGCTTCGTGACCCCATCGGGCGCTCCAGCTACCGCCCAAATGTCAGGGTTCATGTGAGTGTCCGCCCGACATTTCGGCACACCCTTCACACGCTTCGTGACCCCAAACGGAGCTCCAACCAAGGCCCAAATGCCAGGGTTCACGTAATTTCCCGCTTCTTATTTCGGCACGCCCTTCACGCGTTTCCTGGCCCCATAAATAGGTCAACGACGAACCGCATGCCAGGATTTCCATGAGTTCATTGCTTTGTATTTCGGAACACCCCTCACACGCGTCGTGGCCCGTAGGAAGCTCCACCAACGGCCTGAGTGGCAGGGTTCGCATTCATGCCCGCCTTTATTTTTCAGCAGACCGTCATGAGTTGTGGCTACATAGGGAGCTCCACCGAAGGCACCAGTGGGAGGGCCCGCATGACACAGCCGCATCCATGTCCGTACATCCTCACACGTGTCATGTCCCCGTAGGGAGTTCCATTGAAGGCCCGAGTGGGAGGGCCCGCATACCACCGCGGCAACCGTTTCGATACAACTCGCACGCTTCTCGGCCCCATGGGCAGCCCCCCTGAAGGCCCGAGTAGGAGGGCCCGCATGCCACCGCCGCACGTATTTCGACACGCCCCTCACACGTTTCGTGGCAGGACCCACCGAAGACCCAGCATACCATCGCCAGACTCATTTCGGCACATCCCTCACACGTTTCGCGGCATCCGGCGCACCCCTCACACGTTTCTCGTGGCCCCATAGGGAGTTCCACCGTCGGGCCTAGCGGGAGTGTTCGCATCGCGCCACGGCACCCATGTCGGCACACCCTCACGCGTTTCGTGGCCTCATGGGGAGCTCCATTGAAGGCCCCAGTTCGAGGGTTTGCATGTCCCCACCGCACCCTTTCTACGCACCCCGCACACGTTTCCTGGCTTTCCTCCTTCGTCCCACAAGACTCGAGATACGCGCAGCTGCATGTGGTTGGGTCCTTCGCCAGGATCTTTTATCCTTCCTCTCGCTGCGCTCAGTTCCAGGAGCGCAAGCTCTCCCCTGCAAGCTTCCTCCCGCCCTGCATCCAACTGTCCCTCCACTGCTCCCTCCCCTTTTCCTACCACTCCCACTCCTCCCCTCCCCTCCCGGCCTGCGCCCCTCTATCCCGCCTTCCCATACCCCATCCACCCTTCCCCCCCATCCTCACTCTCCTCCTCGCCGTCCTCCAGCCAGCCTTCCCACCTCCTTCATCCATCCCGCCACAGCTGGTCTGGAGTAGCAGAGCTATCCTATTGTCTTTCCTCCTCTTGGCCTTGTGCTCGTCTCCCCCCCGCTGTTGCCTCCATGCCAGCATCCATCGCCGTTTCGGGCCCTTGAGTCGCGTGGCACGCTGCGTACAGAAACATGGCATCTTCGCACATTCATGTGTAGCATTGTTTCGACAGTCTCACCCCTCCCTCCGCCCACAGCTCGTGCTCGCGCACAGGAGCGGAGCTGCGGCCTCTCCACTTCGATGTCGATGGCAACGATTGGCGACGATGACGGGCGACGACGACGACGACGACGACGACGACGACGACGGCGGCGGCGGCGGTGGTGGCGGCGACGACGACGACGACGACGACAACTGGGGACGGGCCGCTGGCGAATGTCAACGACTACGACTGGCGGCGACGACCGCGCTTACGCGCGCGGGAGCGGGCCGTCCTCGCCCGCGCGCCAGCCTCGCAGGAGGTCTGGTCGATCGGCGCGGGGCACGCGGTCCTCCAGCCCGGCGTCCCAGAGGACCGGCGCGCGGCTCTGCGGAAGGAGGCGCGTCGTCGATGTTTGCCGTCGTCGCCGCTTGTCGTCGCCGTCGTCGGGGTTCGTCGTCGTCGCCGCTGATCGTCGTCGTCGTCGTCGGCATCCTCGTCGCCGTCGTCGTCGTCGTCGTCGGCTTCCTCGTCGCCGTCGTCGTCGGCATCCTCGTCGCCGTCGTCGTCGTCGCCCCTCGCAGTCGTCGTCAGTCGCTGTGATTGTGGTCGTCGCCGTTCTCGGGATCGTGTTCGCCAGTCGTCGACGCCACTCGTCGACGCAAGTCGGCCTAGTCCTTGTCCTCGTCTTCTGCTAGGCTGACCTGTGGGGCAGCGAACGTGGGCCGGGGGGACGCGCGGTAAGGTTGCGAATGAGACGGCAAGGGCTGGCGAAAGACACTGGAGAAGTCGAGACATTCTTGCCAAGCCTCCTTTCTCCCACCCCTCCACATGCCCCCTTTCGCCTTCCCTCTCCTAGGTCTTCCCTTCCTACTCCCCCCCTCTCTACCAGCCTTCTCCTCCCCCCCGCCTACCATCCCCTGCCCTTCCCGTCTTCTACGCCCGTCCCTCCGCCTTCCCTCTCCGTTCTTTCCGTTCTTCTCCTACATACTTCATGCCCGCCTCTTCCCCTCCGCCCTGCCTCCGTCGCCCAGAATACTACTCTCGTCTCTTCCCTGCTTGTGTCCATAAAGTAGCTGGTTGACTCCGCTGTTTTCCCCATATCCTAAGATGGGGTTCTTGTTATCATGTTCACCGCGCCGGAATGAAAGTCACACCCACACTTCACTCATCGCTCTTATTACTCCGTATGTTATTATATGCTATTCTGTGGTATGTGGTTTTATGTTATGATGGTGATGGTGATGGTGATGATGATGATGCTGATGCTGACGACGATGATGATGACGATGATGATACTGACGATGATGATGATGATGATGATGATGATGATGATGATGAAACTGATGAAGCTGATGAAGCTGATGCTGATTATGATGCTGATGATGATGATGATGATGATGATGATGATGATAGGATATGACGTGGGCGTCCCAACCATGGAGGAGCAGGAGGCAGCGCTTGAAGAACTTCAACACATTCAAAAAAGGCTTTGGCGCGAGAAGCGCCGCAGGTACAATCCGCCCTGGGCATGGCCGATCGAGATCACAATTATGCTGCTCAACCCCACGTACTTGACACGTCCTGGACAACAGCGAGCAGGCATTGGATTTCAGACCCAGGACTACCCTTCAGCGCATCTCTTGGCGACCTCCGAGAAGCCTTTCCGACAGCGACGGCTAAAACTTGATCAGCACTCATGCTATGAGATCGTGCAGGCTTTCGTGCAGCTGATCGCTCATGTACATCGTACCCAGCAGTTACCAGCCCAGGCCGTCACGAGCCATGCCATCGCAATCGGCAAGAAAGGCAAGTTCCCTACAGGACGACCCACGTTTGACATTCAGAATTGTGTTCGGCTGCTCAACTGTTTCGACCATTTTTGGCGATTCTATCTTCGTATCGGCATTTTGAAGTACGGCAGTCAATATGATCCCCCTCCGTGGGCCTATGGAGGCATTTTTGCTCGGAGGCGAGAGGCACTTATGATATTGGTCAAGCTCATTATTTGGAAGCTGAGGTGCTCGCGCCTTTCGTTCTTGGCCAAGTCTTACGACATGCGCAATGCCTTCGCCACGGGCTCCCATGAGCGGCTGATTGCAGCACACACGTTGAGATGTGATGACGAACATGTTCACCCTCTCCTTTCTCAGCACCGTGAGCAGGCCGTAGTTTACCTCCAGGCCTCGGACGCCAACCTTGCTCTTCGGCCAGGAACTGGAGGGAGGATGGGGGACTCAAATGAGCCAGAATTATTCATGGGATCTTTCTACCCCCTGGTATCGCAGTGGGAAGCGCAGATGGCCGAAGTGCAGGGGGACCCGTTCGGTGTTGTGCGCCCTTTCACGTCAACGACCCACAAGGGTCACCTAGGCGCCTTCATCGATGACTTGTTTAAGATACTCCTCATCCCTGACGGGACGGCTCATCAGGCAATATTGCTCGACATGATCGATAACAATACCCTCACCCAGACCCTATCCCTCGGAGGCTGCGCCCAGAACGTTCAAACGCAGGACACGTTGGTCTCTTTGGGAACCCGAGCTGCCACTAAGGAGGCCGAGCGCCGAGTCTTGGGGAGGGCCCAGCAGGATCTCATACACTTAGGAGGATACGTCAGCGTCACAAACAGTAATCTTCGAGAACTTGGCGAACGTATTCATTCGGCCAATGTGGGATGGACACGTCTTGGGGGCTACTGGTTCTCTGGGGGCCCATGGAAAAGTAAGAGACTATCATGTCTCTCGAATGTGGCTGGCCGTATATGGTCAGGCCTGGAAAGCCACGCATTACGCCCGCGAGAAACTCACCGCCTAGATAAATCACTCGCACGCAAACTTCGAGCCATGATGAGGGGAGGAGCACATCATATTGATGAACATGATGCCCATCGTTCCCTCACCACACTTCAGCTTTTTCGAGATTGGCAAGTCGCTCCGACGGCCATCGAGTTGCTCGTGCGCAGGCTCAGTTGGTAGCAAAGCTTAGTTGCAGATCATACGCATCACAGCCACGTTCTGGCAGTTTTCTTTGGCAGGTGCAGCTTCGAGAAAGAATCGAACGATCGACCGCGCGCTGGCCCTACCCTCACGACGCAGGGTGAGATCGCCACCGCCAGCTCGACGCACCCGTGGGCATTACAGCTTGCCGACGACTTGCAGTGCCTGGCCGAACATCCCATCGGACAAACGTTTGGGGAGCTATGGCGGCCACAGGTGATAAAAGCCCTTTGGGGGGATGAGGAGGTCCGCGAAGCTTTCCGATATTGCGACACCCGAGCGCTGCGAGCGACCTTCTGGACCACGAGGTGGACCCCCCCCAGGTACCAGTAGACTCTCCGAGGCCCTGCCGTCCGCTGAACACGCCGAGGCCGACAGCGAAACCGAGAACGAGCGACCATTCAAATGTACTATTCCTGGATGTTCGGAAAGGTTCGAGACTATTAAACGGTTGGTAACACATCAAATGAAAAATCAAAAGCGGACGGCCACGGACATCCATCTATACTCACATTACTGCAATTGGATAATAAATGTATCGCATGTCATACCACATTTCCCAATCATGAACATGCTGTACGCCATATTCGCAGATCATGGATTGCTGGACGATGTATACACGACCTCACACATCATGAGTATACATGGACGGCAGCTACGACTACGACGTGTCCCTTATGTGACTGCGATCTTGATCCAGCATGTCATCAGGATTATATGGACCCTGAAGCGCTACGTGCCCATGTGTATACCCATCTTCCTATGTCGCCATCTGGATCACGGCTCAAGGTTGTGCACAGACGCGAGGCCAGAGGGCCTCAGGTCGCCTCAGCAGGAGGTGCCCCGCCACCGCCGCCTGCACATCCCGCTAGACGGCCGCCCCGTATTGCGCGCGATACTTCGGGCGCTCGACGGCAGCTTCGACGAGCCACAGATCTTTTACTACGTCAAGGTGCTGACCGGGCTGCTCCTGCTCCCGACCGTCGGCCACGAGTGGGAGCTCAGTCACGACGACCTTCGGCAACTGGTGCTCCAGCGACACCGATGGCTGGGTCAGTTTACTTGACAGCGACACCTACCGTCCCACGGCCCCCGCCACGGCAAGATGTCGGGGGAAACGGCAGCCAAGGAGAAGTCACCAGCGCGAGCTCAATGGCGTCTCCCCCTGGCCTCCTCGAAGGCCTTAGAGGCATCTGGCAGCGGATCCAAAGCAGGACAACCACCGATGGCAAAGCCAGAGCTGGCGGGCCCGCCCCCACCTCGGCGCGACCAGGACGCGGAGGGAGACCAGGCCGCGGACGGGGGAGGGGCCGAGGCAGCGCCACGGCGCAAGCAAGCACGCCGTGGCGGACGGAGGACGAGGCGTGGCGACCACGCGGGGAAGAAGTGGACCAGCAAGGACGAGCAATTACTATCATTACTGAAGTCGACTTTGAAGTTGGTGCTTCAAACGGCGCACCGCACGAGGCTGAACAGCTCCCTGGCCACGGACACCTACACTTGCCCGAAGACTCACAAGGTGATCGACGCGGTGAGCAACGAGTTGGAGGGCTACAAGCAGCACCTGGACCAGCTACGTCAGGGTTCAGCGGAGGACAAGAAGAGGATGAAGGAGATCGGCTCCCCCGCGCCCAGCATGGGCCTCGCGGCCTTGGAAGGAGTGCTGCAGTGCGACATCGGGGGAGCGCTCCGCACCGAGATCGAGGAGTACCTGCTGAAGACCAACCCGCCCGACGGCAGTATGGAACCAGACATGTGCAAGGAGGATTTGGCCGAGGAGATCAGCTTCATTCGACTCGAGAACTGCTTCGACACGGAGAAAATGAAACTCATCATTGGAGCTCCCGAATGGGGTGGCAGGAAACTTCTCATGAAAGCATTCCGTTCGGAGGGCGCGGTCACTCACCATCACGGAGTAGCGCCAGCGGGCTGGCTCGAGGACGAGGTCGGGCACTGGTTGGAGACGCTCGACCACGAATGAATTTCTTGCGAGGTGGAGTCCTGCCAGGCACGATCACGGCACGAAGATCGCCCCGACCACCGTCCTCTTCATCACCTGAGTATATTAGGCCACCGCCCGACTCGCCGCCTGCCCCAGCTGTAGCCAGACCAGCGCTTGACACACAGCCACGCAGTTTCGTTCCTGAGTACCTCGATGAGGCCGATTTCGCCGCAGAGGCAGAAGCTGCTGAGTCTATGCAGCTGTAATCCCCACTCGATGGCATGCCGCTCCCCTGTGCAGCACCCATAGAGTGTCGCCCCATGCGGGGTCAACCGAGAGTTTCGTCTCTCTGCGACGGGCCTGATTTTAGCTCAAATGATGAATCAAGTCATCTACTCTTAGCCCTAACGTCGAGGAAACTATGATGATGATGATGATGATGATGATGATGATGATGATGATGGCGGAGCAACTTCTGAGGATGTATCGAGCGAGGCGCGGGTGTCAGTACCCTCAAGAGGGAGCCGCCAGGGGGTATCTCGTTCCTCTGTTCACGCCAAAATGGCGGGGATGTCTCGAGCGGTTTGCCTGGTTGTGCCCCCAACATCCTCCGCTTTCGGAGCAGATGTTCAGGATGTCCCGAGCGAGGCGCTGGTGTTCGCATCACAAGGGGGAGCCGCCAGGGGTTGTCTCATTCATCCGTTCGCGCCCAAATCGCGAGAATGTCTAGAGCGGTTTGCTTGGTTGTGCCCCCAACATCCTCCGCTTTCGGAGCAGATTCGGAGGGTATCTCAAGCGAGGCGTTGACGTTCGCCCCCACCGGGGGCCAAATGTTGAGGAACTCTCGATCGGTTTGCCTGTTTTGGTGGCCAGACTCGTGGGCACGGATCCTCCCCAGGATGCCACGGGAGGCTCCAGCAGGTTCAAGGAGGCCCCAGGGGGCATCAGGAGGCCACAGTAAGGCCTAAGAGGCCACAGGAAGCGCCAGGAGGCATCAGGAGGCCCCAGAAGACACCAGGAGGCCCCAAGAGGCCCCAGGAGCAGGAGGCCACAGGAGTGGCTTCAATGTTTTGCGTCTGCTCCTATAGATTGGGCCTCCCCTGGAGCTCGCATCCTTAGTGCTTTACGTATGTTTATATAGCTTGCCTTTCTCTTGTGTATCCAATCCTATACAGATGTTCCTATAGATTGGGCCTCCCTTGGGGCACGAGTCTTTGGTGTTTTACGTGTGCTCTTATACTGCCCGTATCCTGTGGTTCCAATCCGAAGTGTTTTACGTCTGTTCGTATATATTGGGCCTCTCTGGGGCACGAATCCTCCCCAGGAGACCCCAGGAGGTCCCAGGAGGCTCCAGGAGGCCCCAGGAGGCCCCAGGAGGCCCCAGGAGGCCTCATGAGGCAACAGGAAGCCCCAAGCGGCCCCAGTAGGCCCCAAGAGGCTCCAGGAGGCCCCAGGAAGCCCCAGGAGGTTTCAGGAGGCCCCAGGAGGCCCCAGGCTGATGCGCAGAGACGCGCTCGTACTACTGAGGCTCATTCACACTCCAATTCATCCACAGTTAGATTCACCCGCAGACTGTCAATACTCAAGCCCGTTTATACTCGAAAACTCTTGCGCCTACACACCCACGGCGGACAGGTCCATGGTAATATATTCACAGATGGGGAGTTCCAAGCAGTGAGTAATTTGACATCGGGTTGCAGTGGTTGATGTGCTTTAGGTTATTGCTTCTACAGCCCGATTGCGTTCTGTGTTTAAAATGGTGTTCCCGCTGCAGTGTGTGCCTCATTTTCGGATCGGCGCTTTGGTCCAAGTAGGGCCGTCGTTCAGAATAGTGTTCTTGCCCCAGCGCGGGCCACTTTTCTGGATCCGAGTCCTTTTTCATTGTTGTCGCCCCCCTCAGTTTTCACCCTTCGCCTTCCCTGCCCCTCCTGCCGATCCCACTCTTTCCACTTCTGTTCGTGCTGCTGCTGCTGCTCGTCCTCGCCCTCCTCCCTTCACATGCTCCTCCTTGTTTGTTCTCCTGCTCCTGCTGCTCATCCCCCCGCTCACCCGCTGCCTCCTCCTCCTACCACGTACGTAGCTCCCCTTATTGGATTGCGCGTAACACGATTGTTCGTTGTTTGGAGTTCCAGGTCGGCCATGAGAGGCGTCCGCGGATAAGAAAGATCAGCGCAATCGGCAAGGATTGGAGGACGGGCCTCTCTCCTGCTGTCCCCACTGCATCTCCCTCCGTCTGTGTCTTCCCTCGCGCCTCCCCGCCGCCTCTGTCCCGGTCCCCAGCTGGCGAGTTCGCGTTGCCAGGTCGCTGAGATTCCCGCTAATTGCTCCAATGCGGCGGTCAGAGCCCAGGCGGAAGGGGAGGGGGGGCAAGGAAAGTAGGGTTGCCGAAATCAGGAACAGGGCATGAGAGTCGAGCGCACGAGTTGAAGCCGGAGGAGCTCACGCCCAAGGGATCCACCCGAAAGAGGGGTGCGGGAACGCCCAGGTGCTCGAGCTCGCGAGCCAAGTCGTCACCCAGAGGCCGTCGGCTCCTCTTGACCTTGACCGCCCCATATGCGCGCTACTGGTATGCCACCTGCCCATGTGCACGCGTCCTGTATTGATTCGCGTTTGCGCATGATGGTAGGAATGCTTGTAATGATTGCGTTGCGTTGAGTCTTGGGGAGGCCGCGTCCTGCTCTCACTCCCCGATTTGCATCGCCCCCCCTTCCCTATCCTTCCTTTTCCCCCGCCTCCTTCTCTCTTCTACCTACCCCTCCTCTCCCGCCTCAACTTTTCTTTACTCCCCCTCCTCCCTTCAGCCATTCGTAATGAAATCTCCTACACATTCCTCTTCCTCAGTTCCTCGTCCGCCTCCTCGTCCTTCCTCCCTCCCCCGAATCTCCTCCATGAGGCTCATACACTGCTACTGCCCGTTTGGTAAGGCCTGGCGCAGGGGCCTGCATCTTCGGAGTTCCAGACCGCACCTCCCTCCACATGCTCACTGGTACGCGTCGCACAGGTTTCGACACGGGGCCCAAACTGTTGCCAAAATTCACAGCTGGAGGCTTCGGAAGCTTGGAATCTTTCACATGCACGATGTTTCCGGACGAGATTATGCCGACGATATACATCAACCTATTCTTTTGTACGCCCCGAACCCCATCGAAGCTCGCAGTCGCATCGTCGCCTCGAACGAGATTCTCGACAGGAAGTTGGAGGCGGCAGGCGGTTTCGCTCACAATCCCGACAAAGGGATTTGCATGTCAGTCATGACGGGGCCTGGCGCCTACACTGCCTCGAGGTCGTTCCTGTCCCACACTGTGCCGTTGCCAGGCGTTGTTGCTACCGAGAGTCTGTACTTCGAAGGGACGGAACTTACGTGGGGATGTGGAGTTGAGATCCGCGGGAGACGGGAAGCTACTAGGTCTGCGTGGAGGAGGATGGGAAGATTCTGGGAGTTGACGCACTTTATCCGGTTTAAACGTATGGCTTTCAAAGGGTGCATCCTTTCGGCAGCTTTCTCAGGACTGGAGTCGCATTTACCAGGCAAGCTGGATTACAGACGTCTGGATGCCGTCATTCGTATTTGCACGGGTGGTCTTGTCAGATCGCAAACCTGAATTCGCAGTAGATGCACCAGACGGCGCAACACCGAAGCATCGCTCACTGCCTGAGGCAGCAGTGCTCCTAAAAATGAGAATCACCGACACGAGAGCAGAGCTGTTGTTTCGCCAATTCCGACAGTGGCAACGCTTTGTCATGTACCCAGAAGACAACCGACAACCCCTGCTCTGTTTGGGTTCTTGAACGTCTTCGGCGAGGCAAGCACCTTCCTCGATGATGGTTCGTTGAGCCCGAAGGCCAATCCCTGTGCCCTCCAGGTCCAGCAGGACCTCCAGGCGCTGCAGTTCCCCGACGGGTGCCCCGAGTTCCTCGAGCTCCGTAGCCATTTTGGCTCAAGATGACAGGTTCCCTGCGGGACCACACGGATACCGCTAGTCCGCGGCCAGTTTCGTTGTGTTCGCCTGGTCCGCCCCAGGCAGAGGCTGGAGTGGTCCGCCCCACTTCAGCCAGCCCGTTTTCTTGCACCCTCTCCGCTCGCTCAGTGTCTCAGTCATGTCGGGCGGCACGCCGAGGCGCTGGGTCGCCTGCCAGAATTGCGGGCCTCGCAGCTGGGTGTAGCTTGACAGTGGTCTTCGCAAGTGCAAGTATTGCGGGAGCAATTTCCAACCGCCCGCAGGATGGCTCCCTAGGCGAGGTCGAGGCAAAGGTCGTGACGCAGGCAATGCTGGAGGTGCAGCAGCTCCCGCTCCGCCGCAGGTTGACCTCTTCAAGTACTGCCAGAACCGCTACGGCGCCAGTGGTGCCAGTTTGCCGCAGCAGCCACAAGCGGAAGATCAGCCGCCAGACGTGCACACCCCGCCCAAGACGGTCGACGAGGACAAGCTGCAGCAACAGATCTCTTCGCTCGAGAAGTGCATTGCAATGGCTGGCGCAGTCACTGATGAGCTTGCCCCAGGCCATGCACAGAACATTGCAGAGTCCAAGCAAAAGCTGGCACAGCTCAAGGCACAGGCTGCGGCACATCTTCCACATCATGATCAGGTCCAACGGGCCACCATCAGAGTCCAGCGAGCAGCCGACAAACAGGAGAAGATCCGCAAGCAGCTGGACGAGAACGCTAAGTTCATTTGCCAGATGGAGCATCTCCTCACCACCATGCGAGAGGATGGCGCCAACCTTCAACAACGATTTGAGGAGGCTCAGCAACAGTACAACGATGAGCGCGAGCAGCAGTCGAAGACATGGGCTTCGACGGCCCGCGGCCAGTTGGGCGACATCCAGGCCTTCAAGCTGCCCCTCGACACGCTGGCAGCCAAAGCAGCGGCTAACAGTGAAGTGGCCCAACTCTTGGCCATGGGCAAGCAGCTTGTCACCGCACTCGAGGCCAACAGCACCGAGGATGCCATGGACGCTGAGGCAGCATCGCCTGCGCAGCAGGGCAGCATCGCGCAGCAGCAGCTCGCCGCGCTCGGATCTTGGATACCTACAGGGAGAAAGGCCGACTGGGAGGCAGCAGAGGCGCAGATGGCCAAGGCGCAGCAGCCTGGCACACCAGTGCACGCAGCCTCGGCCGAGGCAGCCAGTGCGCCGCCAGCGACGCGCCCTTCGGTCCCTGCTCAGGTGGCTAAGCGACCTGCCGTTCCTGCGCCACTTTCGCCGCCGCCTGCTCGTGCTAGAGAGCAAGGGGCAGGCCGTGGCAAGGGCGCGCGCTCCGACGATGCCAAGGAGCGCACCGAGGGCCGCGGGTCACGCTCCCCGCGGGAGACGCAGCGTGCTGGCGCTCCTGCTGAAGTGCCACGCCTCGCTGAGCCCGCAGATGCAGCTGCCAGCGCGGCTGAAGTCAGGCCACGGTCCGAACAAAACTTTTCCAGTCCCTGCAGGCACGCAGCGGACGCCATATATTACAAGGAAGAACGACTTCCACAGTTTTGGGCCCGAATTTTCTGGCGGCGATTTTGATTTCGACCATTCCGATTTTGAAGGTGATCCCGGAGGTGAGGGCGAAGCTATGCTGGTGGAAACATTCAATGGGTCGCCGTGGGATACTATCAGGCAAAGATTGGGGGAACTTCAGAATACCTCGGTCGCAGTTTTGTTTGCGCAGGAAGTCAAACTCGTGGAGGGGCCCCTGGGAACTGCTTCAGCATGGGCGCTCGACCATGGGTGGAAGCCGTTCTGGGCTCCGAGTTTCATAGGCCCCTCTGGCACGGCTCGTTCCAGTCGCACTGACCTAGGGGACGAAGGCGTTTCTTCAGGAGTAGCCATCTTTGTCCGCGCTACTCTTGGGGCCTACAATCTTCAGCCACCCTCATTCCCTTCCGAGGGGGTTCTCTTTCGAGGCAGGGCCCTGTCTTGTGTGGTAGAGTCCCCAGGCACCCCAGGGGTCTTGTGCGTCTCAGTTTATGGGAAAGTCTCGGAGGGGCTGTCGGTTACCAACTTGGGACTTTTGGAGAGAGTGGCTACGCGCTGTAAGGCACCCAACATGCAGTTCATCATTGGTGGCGATTTCAACATCCCTTATGAATCCTTGGCGTCGTATGGGTTCTCGGAGGCTCCTGGGGCACAAGTCCCGGTGGCCGAGCCTCCCCTCTCGGACAAAGGTAAGACGCAAGTCATTGATTATTTCGTGGTGGAAACAGAATTGGCCAAGCTGGTGACCTCAGTTTCTACGGATTTCGAATGGCACGCACGGCCGCATTTTCCAATCCGAATAGGTCTGCCTGCCAGGATGCAGCACGTTCGCATATTGCAGTTCGACACCGCGCCCGCACTCGCCTGCCAGCTGCCAGAAGAGCCCGAAGAGATCGGCAATTCCACGGTCGACTGGGCCGACCTTTTGCAGCGACGCGAGCAGCTCTTTTTCCAGCTTCAGGGGCAGGCGGGGGAGGAGAAGCCAGAGGGCATGGAGAGATTGCATGGGGTACTCTATCGCTATTGGGCGGCCAGGGCGGAGAGGGAGATTGCGGGCAGGACGGGTAAGAAACTCACTAAGCCTGGAATTCGCGGTCTTTTGCCGAAGCCCCGCCTCGCTCCACTAGTTCAGAAGACGCCGGCGCACAGGCATTTTGCAGCAGTCGCACAGGGGCCAGCTTGGCTAGTTTCGCGCATGCGGCGCGTGCTTCAGCTGCTCACATGTATTCGTTTTGACATGAGTCACTCGTGTTGTGTTCGTGTGGAGCATGCGCATGATCTCAACAATTTGTGTGTCAAGATTATCAACAGTAATCCTCATCATGTTCTCGCGCACGCTAGCACGAGCAAGTCTCTTGTGGCGGTCAAGGGGCTGGCCAAACAGATGCGCACATACCTGCATAGCAAGGTGGGGTTGGATGAGGACAATAGGAACGATATAGCCTTCGAACTGGAGCATGAGATTAGTCTTGTGGTAGGTTTTGCTCGTGCGGTTATTGCTGACTCGCATGGGCAACACCAGAAGAGTTGGCAGGATTGGGTGGCACAAGCTTTGAATAAGGGGGCAGGGCAAGCACGCAGGTTTTGCAGGGGGAAGGTAAAGTGGGAGCCAGAAGTCTTCGTGGTAGACGGCATTCAGTCGTCCAGTGTGCAAGCTCTTCTTGGCGAGTACAATCGCAAGTACTCCCTCATGTGGGAGGCAACATGTTCGCCTCATCATCGCACTGCTCGTGTACAGGCAGCTATTCCCCTTCCATCAGTTGAAGCAGTACAGGCTATAAGCAAATCTGATTCTACAAAGTCTGCGGTCAGTTTGGATGGATTTCACTGTCGTCATCTGTCGTGTCTGACAGGTGAGGGAGTGCAGGCGTTCATCTATCTCTTGGGCATCTCGGAGTGTCTGGGGCAATTACCACCTCAGCTTCAATGGGTTCTTATGGCGCTTCTCCCCTAGGCCTCCAACGGGTACCGTACTATTGGGATATTCAGTATGTTGTATCGGGTCTCTGGGCGCATCAGGCTCCCGTATGCCAAGTCTTGGATGGACAAGTTTGACCACCCAT